GCCGTAAACTTCCTTTGAAGTGGATGTCACCTGAAGCTATTGATGACCAGATATTTACCAGTAAAAGTGATGTGTAAGTCTTGTAAGTTGTATTGTAGATTGTATCTATAGTAATGTAATGTGTTGTTGTTGACAGATGGTCGTATGGTGTGGTTCTATGGGAGATCTACTCTCTTGGTAAGTCGGTGCAGCTTGTATTCATTGTTTGATTGATTTGACAGTTAATGGTTTTGATTGACAGGTAAGCTACCATACCGCAGTGTCTGCAATCAGCAGCTCTTAACCTTCCTCAAAGAAGGCCGCAGAATGGAAAAACCTGATCTTTGTCCAGATAGCGTGTAAGATATGATTACTGATACTATTCAAATAATATGAATAAACATTGATGCCAGACGGYATTCTTTCTTAGATACRAACTGATGACAAAGTGTTGGGAAGAGCATGCGCAGGACCGACCATCGTTCAGTGACGTCATCCATTCGACCGAGTCTCTTATGACACTTGACAACTCGTACGTTGATTTGATAGATGACAGTTACTTGACAACTTTGACTGCTCACAGTGATTTAGAGAGTGAGGTTTCTGCATAAAAATATAAACAATGCGGATAATCACATGGAAATTTAATTATAGAAATAAGCAAAATAAATATGGAAACTGGTAATTTACCTTGAACTTTTTATATTTTTTTCCCTATGCTATGTCTTCATTGTGAACATTTTCGTGGAGWTCATTCCCTCTTTCGAAGACCTGTGCCCATCCTTGGAGAAAATCACAGAATTCCCAGTCTCTGAAAAGTTACGGGAGATTGGCTACCTGTGGGGACAATCTAAACGGCTTTTCACATATAGTCAAAACATCGTTTTTAAACAGTAACTTTTCCAGTTCTTGAAATATCAAAAAACTAAAATAAAGATGTTTCAATAGTTTATAGACATTTATTTCTGGAGCGGTTATTTTCGATTTTGAKGCTGTTTTAGTGTGTTTTAGGAGGATTAGATTTCGACTCCCTTCTGTCTCTGGAGGGATCGGAGATTCACTCTTGTTGCTTCAGTTCCTTCCAATTATTTGCATAAGAACTGATAAATGAATTCCTGGAATTCACTCTTTGCTGTCCACGTATATTTTAACATTTTAAAATATTTTAAAAAGTATCATAAGTGATTTCAAGATTTTACGAACTATAATCCATATTAGTATGCTATTTATCTCAGTTTCTCTGCAAATGAGGTTATGAGAAATTTTTCTTTTAATATATCAAATATTTTAATACTTGCCTAGATTAGCTTTATGGTCAATTGTATGGTAGTCTATTATCAGGAAAATATATATGTAAATAATTTGTCCATATTGAAATTTGAAATAAACATGAAACAAACACGAATCGTTTTAGTCTATTTCTTCCTACATTGAGAAATCATGTTGCATATTTTGACCTGCAATCAGTGTTCTTCTAATGCATGAGGATCATCATCCTCTACGTGACCCTCTCACGATCCTAGAGTTTATTGGGAGCATTTTTTCTGCAGAAGCTTCCTTCTCTAAYTACTCAGTTCCAAGGGTACCAAATATCCATCGTCTTCTTCGTTCASCAAATCAATGTACGGATTATTACGTGTCATATAAGTCTCGACACAATCGATGACGTCACTGAAAGAGGGTCGGTCCTGYGCATGCTTTTCCCAACAGTTGTTCATCAGTTCGTATCTAGAAATCAAGACCGGTTAATATCAYGGTTTATTCGCGTTTTATGGTGGGATAATATTAATTATCATCTATCTTACATTTCATCTGGACAAAGATCAGGTTTTTCCATTCTGCGACCTTCTTTG